CGGGGGGGGGGGGGCGCCCCCCGCCCCGGCCGGCCCCTGCCTGTGCCCGCAGGAGCGCCTGGCCGAGGGGCTGACGGCCACCACCGAGTTCCACGGCGCCATGCAGGAGCTGCTGCGCTGGATGGGCCGCGCCGAGGAGGCGCTCGCCTGCCCCGCGCCCCCCAGCTGCCTGCTGGACACTGTCACCGCGCAGATCCAGGAGCACAAGGTGAGCCGGGCGCCCGCGCACACCTCCCTGCACCGCCCTGGGCACTGAGCTCCTGTCCTGCATGGCATTGGCTGCGGCCAGGCAATCGTCATGCATCCACACTGGGTCTCTGCTCCATGTCCTGGGACGTCTGTGCATCTGCACCTGGTCTCTACTCTGTGTCCCTGGATGTCTCCGTGCATCCGCACCCAGTCTCTACTCTGTGTCCCTGGATGTCTCTGTGCATCCGCACCGGGTCTGTCCTGGGACATCTCTGTGCTTCAGTGCTGGGTCTCTGCTTCATGCTCCTTGCCCCACTCTGTGCTCCCTGCGTTCCTGCCTGTCCCTGGAGGCTGCCCCAGCCCCAGGCACCCTGGCACATTCCGCTCTCTTGCAGGCCCTGGTGAAGGAGGCGCAGGCGCACGGGGAGCAGCTCGGCGGTCTCGAGGCTGTTGCGTCCCGCCTGAAGGACTTCAGCCGGAAGCAGGATGGGGCCGTGATCCAGAACCTGGTGCTGACGGCCCGGGAGCTGCTGGCCAAGGTGCTGCAGCGTGCTGCGGAGCGCGGAGCCGCGCTGGAGGAGGCCCGCAAGCGCACCAAGCAGGTACCACCGCACGGGGCTACCCCGGGCTGGCACTGGAGCATGGGCCGAGCTTCTCTGGCTCGAGGTCCATCTTGCCCCTGCGGTGCGTGGGCCCTTGTGCTGCAGCGCCTGCACCAGGCGCTCCTGGCCCCACGGCCCCTGGTCCACGTGCTGTTTGTCACATGGGCCGTGGTGCACGGCGCCGACGTGGCTGCCCTGCACCGCTGCCCCCCTTTCAGTTCAGCGAGTCCCGACGGCTGCTGCTCGACTGGATGGAGGAGGGGGAGCAGAGCCTGGAGCTGCCCCCCGACACGGCCGGCAGCCAGGAGGAGATCAAGTGCCAGCTGGCTGAGCACAAGGTGGGCTGCCCGGCCCCGCGGCGCGTGGAGCCGCGCGCCGGCCACCCTGACCCGCTGCCCGCAGGCCTTCCAGAAGGTGCTGCGCTCCAAGCGCCCCGTGTATGAGGCGACGCTGCGCAGCGGGCGGGCGCTGCGGGAGCGAGCGCAGCTGCCCGAGGACCTGCAGCCGCTCGAGGAGCTGCTGGGGGAGCTGCGGGAGCGCTGGGACGCCCTGTGCAGCCGGGCTGCAGAGAGGTGAGGCGACTCCGCGGCTCCGCTCGCCACTGCCTGTGGACTGTGCCCAGGAGTGTCCCCGGGAATGGCCCGTATCCCGTTATTACCCTGCAGGCAGCACAAGCTGGAGGAGAACCTGCTCTTCTCGGGCAAGTTCACGGATGCACTGCAAGCCCTCATGGACTGGCTGTACCGGGCTGAGCCACAGCTCAGTGAGGACGTGCCCGTCGGAGGGGACCGGGACCTGGTCAGCGACCTCATGGACAAGCACAAGGTCGGTATCACAGGACATGTCCTGTGTCCTGGTGAAGGGTGAGCGCCACGTGCTCTTGTGCCAGCATGGGCAGCAGTGCCAGCGCAGACCCTTCCTGCACCCCACATCAGCCCGGCTCCCCAGTGCTGATCGGGGCAGTGTGGGGCAGTGACCACCCTAGGGAGCAGCATCGGGGAATCCCCGGTGCCCCCATCCGCTCCTGCCATCTCTGCAGATCTTCCAGAAGGAGCTGGGCAAGCGCGCTGGCTGCATCAAGATGCTGAAGCGCTCGGTGCGCGACCTGACGCGTGGCAGCAGCAGCGTGGACTCACAGTGGCTGCAGCGGCAGGTGGAGGAGCTTGGCGCCCGCTGGGACCTGGTCTGCAAGCTCTCCGTCTCCAAGCAGGCCCGGCTCGAGGCCTCGCT